TGCCATATAACGAAGAAGATTTTACTTACGGAATATTGAGAGCGGCCTCACGGAACAAGCTAAAAATCCTGCCACACACAGAGTACCGATATAAATTACTATTATAATTGAACACGGAAACACTTCGACAACTTTGACTGAAAACGCGACGCGACCGACTTCAACGAAAGTTTGCTGTCAACTGAGCGGGCAAAATTTTTTCATCCAAAATTAAGTTTAAACTACCCAACGTCAAGTTCGCTCAAGTAAACAACACGTTGAGTAATTTCTACGTAATTTTGAGTTATTTGAAACTTGAAATTTTTTTTTTTGAGGTTTCATCAGGGATTCGATTTGAATTGGACGTGAATGCAAGATAGAGAAAATGATTATCTCAGTTAATAAGGGGTTTAATTTAATTTGCATTTAATTGTTTAAAATTAAAAAAGAACAGTTGAGTTTCGCGAATGTGTTGTGCGGAATCCAACAACATTATGGAGCAGATTTGCAGGAAACGTTTAACAAAAAGTTCAAATAAATACACCAACGTTCGTGTTAAGTGTGGAATACTATTCGAACGTGAAAATGAACATGAGTGATACCTAGTTATATTTTGCAGGATATTTACGATCATTAACATTTTTCTGTCAAATCAAAGTTTTTTTTAAACCTATTAATGAGTTCTTTTGAAAGTACCTAAACGTTAGGTAAAAAGAACCTAATAACGAAAGCGATATTTACCCAATCGTTTAGTTCAATCGGAAGAAGCCAATTTTAGGTTCTTTTGAACTTAATATTAGGTAGTTTTCTATTTCCGTGTAGGGTGATACTCTAAGGAAACCGTAGCGTGAATCGTCATAAAGAGAAATGTTATACACTAATGACATTACTTCTCTCTGTTTGTTGTAGTGCAGCAACCAAGGAGTAGCAATTTAATATATGTATGTTTTTGGGAGCTGATATTTGTGCAATTATACTATCATGTCTTTAGAGTATCACCTTGAGGAGCTAACTCTGATGGAACTTGTTACACAATACATACAATCAAGTGATTATAAGTGGTTCATAGGAAAAGAATAGATGGAATTGCCTGTATGGCATCGTTTATTCGTTTATATGTGGTGAAACAGGTACTGACGGATCATAAAAAACAACAACAGATAGATCCTAATTTAGGTGGCATGAGTTTTTCTTTTAGGCAAGGTGTACAGAAAATAGTGTCCACTATCCACTTTTTTAATTTTTAGTGAATCAAATGTTTATATTATTTTATCTTTATAATTAATCATTCATTAACTGTTCATAAATTAATATCTTTAACCTTTTTTAATATCTTTAACTGAACGTTGAAGGTCTCCGTTTAAGAAACTTCGTAAATTAAATGTTTAAAAACGGCTCCGTTAAGCTACTTCAGTCTTCACAACCTTAGCAAATACATGACCACATAAAAACAGTTCGGTTTTGCGCAGTAAAAATCATTTCACACAGGGTGCAGCAGTGATTCCCTATGAGTGGACTTTCGCACTGCTCTAATTTAATCATTAGCATGTTATACACCCAGTTAATTGCATTCCTGCAATCAATTAATATTTCAAACAATTTCCCCCTTGCTCACAGCTTACAACAAATTAATTCCATAAACTACTTGCGGGATAAGTCCCATTTAGTGCTGTGTGTCGCATCGTGAGTGTCTGAGGGGACTGCAGAACAATAAACGGCATCAATCATTCATGTCCAGCAGTGATTACCTCTATATTAGCATAAAGCGTCGGCTGTCGCCAGAAGCCTCATCACAAACACAATCTATTTAGGAGGAGGAGGAAGAACGACTCGCTCGGAGCAATATTCACTCAGCAGGCCAACAGTGTGAAATGCTTCAGTGGATTCCGGAGAGCAAAGAGCAAGTTGTTCACATAATTAAATATGAATTAGCTCAGGCATGACGGCCGTCGTCCTCGCTTGAACGGAGGATGTGCCTCGTTGAACTTTGCTTCCAATTTCATAGATTTACGATATCGAATTAAAGTAGATAAGCGCAATGTATTGAAGATCATCGTGACAGTGACTGGTTTCTTCTGTGTTCTGTGGTGGAGAAAATCTAGACAGGTTGTCGGATGGTAGCAGGCAATTTCCTTGTTAGATATTTATGAGCAATAATGGATTTGTGGGGAGTTTCTGAAAGCTCTGGTAATAAGTTATGCATGGATCCCTGCGGAGTTAATCATCATTCTACTTTTTCGTATATAGTCTCGCTTTGATAACTTTGATATCGTCGAAGATTGCAGTAAGATGTTTTAACTATCCTTGAGGGAGTTTTTTGACTAATTCATCAATTTTATGTCTTTCGTTGAACTGTGCAGCAAAGCTGACTCAAAGATACTTTGATCTAGAAATCTATGATGTCCACTTTACGAAATCATCAAGCAATTGGTTTCATTATTCTATAATATGCATCCATGTCTAACCTGGCATAATATTGTAAGATCTTTACAATGAAATATTGATTGCATTTTGTAGGTAATAATATTTTTAGATATCAAACGTCCAATAAAATTCTCACTTAAGCCATGGTATTAAATTTACAATTGATTTGCAACAGATGTCGCTAACTAAAAAAGCTTTGGCGATTTATTTTGTATTTTATGATTTTCACAAAATTAGAACCATGTTCGAAAAAAAAATATATATATAGGGGAAATGACGGTTTCAGCATGCCAGACTATTTTCGGCAACCCAAATTGAAACACTATTTTCACTGGATTTTCTTATGAAAACACTTCGCTGAATGCATGCAAACGATTCTTTATGCTTTCAGCTTCAATTTGACTATATTTTTACCACTGAGAAGAAGCAATCTAGCAAGGTTTTCTTGAAATGAAACACACGTACTACAAATTGTAGCTGATTTCGAGTTGCCGATAATAGAACAGCAGATTTACATGCAGTTCAAATGGAACGGTTGCCGAAGAAAAACTGGTTGCCGACAATACTCGCTCTCACTAGAGAAGATTGGAGCTTTGTAAAAGCGTTTCAAACCAGTTTTTGACAATTCTTTCGACTGAAATTGTTAGAGCAGCTGGCAGCAAAAGATTGTAAACAAACCAATACTGGATATGTGTGCGTTCCTTAGAGAAAAAGGCTATAGAAAGAAGGTCGCTGCTTAGGTTGCCGAGAATATGTAAATTCCCCTATATATATAATTACTTCCAAAATGGATTTCTTTGAGACATCACTTGAAAAAAAAAACTCGTCGTTTTGTGCAAAATAGTAAAAGGAACACATTTTGATTTTTTTTTTTACTCACTAGGTCACTTTCACCCTTTAATTTTTACCGAACTGACCCATCAAAACTGTTAAAATTTTCATTAATATTTTTATTAAATTTTTTTCATAGAAGTTGAGTGGAATGTTTTTTCCTCTGTTCGGGACATTAACCACTGAGACCAGTAATTTGATCTATTGTAGTTTATCCCGTACTATTTAATTAGTACATTTCGCATTACTCGATCACAATTGTGAAAGTATTCGGTTTTAATACAGTTCTCATTCTTGCCTTCATTCTAATTGACTTTTTATACCCTTCGAAGAGCAGCGAGAGCATCCTCCAAAGGCGCGCCCCTTTGCCAGTGAAAGTTTGGGTTCCTTAGCAACCAAATTAAGCAGTTACACGAATAATGACCATGCATCAGAGCCCTAGTCTTAACCTTTTCAAACTAGGGAACAACGAATAGAAGATTGGGAATCACATAGATGAAAACTAACTAACTATTTTTTTTCCTTGTTTCAAGATCATCCTCGGTACAGGCTACCTGAGGATATAATCACTATTAACAAGGAATGCAAAGTAAGAAGTGTTCCTTTGATTACTGAAACATCCTGTTCCCTTAGTTTGAAGTAGTCAGGACTAGGAATCGATGGTAGATCATACATCCCGTAACGTAACTCGAAAAGGTGATGTACCCACGTTACAGTGGATTGAGTAATTTTCTTTTATTTCGTGGTGCTTGAGTACTTTGCCCAGAAGAAGTCTACAAGTACATTGTTGGCCTAAATAAGCCCCATGGTGAACATGTTCAAGGAAAAATTATTATTAATGTGTTGGAGGCGAACCAGCCCAAGGCTGAAAGCCTCCTTAATAAAGCTAAATAATAATAATAATATTGTTAATGTTTACAGACAAATTCAAAAACTATGATTCAAAACAATTGGTTAACCAGCAGGGTATCTACAGTTCCAACTACCATGACATAACAGCTCTAATGTCATTTTCAAAGCAAATTTAAAATAATAATATGTGATCAGTAACGGCAAGCAACAAGGATAAAATTATTTGCATGATTATTTGAAACAAACGCTGATGATGTCATAGCTTGATTGGAACAGTGGAATGACAAAAAATATCCCCATAGAGATTGTTAATGTGGTCAGTGTGGTATTAGTGCTATTGGGTAGCAAGTAAAACCAGGGAAGTCTGACAAATTTTCAAACCTGAACAATTCCTATACAGCAAAAAATTAATTTTAATATTACATCCAAGAAGATACACTTCAATCATGTCGAAAATCTCATGTAATTTGTATGGCCACAAAAATAAACAAATGCAGTAAAAGTTGCGTAATGTCAGTTCAAGCACTGTATTAATGATACTTTTGTCCTTTTTGGCAAGTAATAATACACCATATGTTTGACACGATTGAAGTGCATCCACTTTGATGTGATAACAATATTATTTTTTTTTGTAGCCGCCTCCAGCATGGTCTTGCTTTATATCTGTGCCTTTACCGACTGAGAAAAGGGAGGCTCCACAATAACTTTCATTGCAATCGATTATCTACAAATGAATTACCTGTATTTAAACATGCTATTAATAAATAACCCATTGTATCCTTTATGTTAAAATATGCACATTGTATTCTAACATAGCTGGTACATATAAGCCCAAACTTGTTCGTTTCATTATCATTTACAAGAAATCAGCAACATGTATTCTAATATTCACTTTCTAACTCTCTTTTCCGCAGTTCCCATAACGATGGTGAGTGGTGTGCTCGGTAAGCAGGCCAGTCTTCCGTGTGACATCCGACCACTGGAGCGAGACGATGCCGTGTACATGGTGTTCTGGTTCAAGGAGGAAGACAGCGAACCACTCTACAACTTCGACATTCGAGGACGCCAGGTTGCACAGGCACGTCTGTTCTCCGCAGAAAAGTACTTTGGCAAGAGGGCATTCTTCCGAGCGACGACCCATCCGGCCCAGCTGTTGGTGGACGATCTAAAACTCTCCGACGAAGGGGTCTACCGGTGCCGGGTGGATTTTCGCAACTCGCCCACCCGGAATGTTAAAATTAACTTCACTGTTGTAGGTAAGAAAACACAAAACTCACACATCAAGTGATGCAAATATAAAAAAACGAAAAAAAAATTGGAAGCAACTTTCGATTTGCTTGATCGAAAATCAAAACATGCAAACACATGTCTCTATTTAAAGCGATGCATGAAATACGTTCGAATTAAGAACGAGGGATATTCGATTGGGAAAAGTTTTGTTTCTTATTTTACAGCTTCCATAAATACTTACTACCGGGAAATACCCATGGGGATCGCAAGCGAAAAGACAGACTCGCGGGATTCTCTAATTTGTTTTCGCGCCCATTTCGAAACGTCACTCTTGTTTTGGAACATTTTAACAACTTCCGAGAAGAATTGCTGCTGGTGAATGTAAATCGTACAATATATTTTGCTGTTTGTCAGCATCTTGGCACGACGGACGGTGGACTCTTCGAAGTAACCATTTTCGTTCCGTCAGTCACAGCGAGAGACGTGTCTTGCCTGAAGAATCAAAGCTTCTTCTATGGCAAACAAATTCGAAGAAAAGCGAATTTGGTTCGAAACTGAAGCGAAGATAAACAAAGACGGGAGGGATGGTAAATATCTTCATTTGGGGATAAATGCAATTGTATGTAATAGTTCGCTCCGGTGAACACGAGTTGCGGAACTTGAGTTTGTTATCGACCCACCTTTCGAATCGAACGTGCTTTGCTTGTATTATCGAGACAACTAAAAGATTGATGAAGATAGTACAAGCAGAATAGCCACAATACAGAGGATTCTACCTGTGCAAACCAGAGTCGGGTTACGGGGCGGCTAACCATAGTTGGAAAAGTATTTTACCCACAACGTTCCAGATACGCCAATCAACCGACCCTGTTTGCTGGAAAAGCAAACGAGATGAAAATGGCTTGGAGTTGATTTCTGGTGAAATGGCTTCTGCTTCATCGTCGTAAAATTGTCTTATCTGGATCTTTGCTGCCATTAAAGGGTGTCCACGATGAAATTGCCACACACAAAATTGATTCGCAAAATTCGAGTTTTCATCCGATTGCCATCAAATTTTCAGGGATTGAGAAATAACTATTAAACTTCATTTTACCATTTTACTCGTATTTTATTTACAGTCCATACGCAAATGCCCGCACCTTGGCCTTAACCCCGGCCATAAGATTCTGCACAACCTGTGAATCAACCGTTTTTTGCATGTAACCCCATACTTTCTTCAGTTCCTCGACTGTCTTCACTACCTTAGGTCGTTTAAGAAGGTGCTGCTTCATAATCGCCCAGTACTTCTCGATGGGGCGGAGCTCCGGAGTGTTGGGAGGGTTGAACATTTTCGGCACGAAATTGACCTTATTGTCCGCATACCACTTCAGCACGTCCTTGGAGTAGTGGCATGAGGCCAAATCCGGCCAGAAGATTGTTGGGACGTTGTGGGCCTTCAGGAGAGGAAGCAGCCGCTTCTGGATGCACTCTTTTATGTACACCTGTCCGTTCATCGTGTCCTGGGTCACGAAAGGTGCACTCCGCTTCCCGCACGTGCAGATGGCTTGCCAAACCAGGAATTTCTTCGCAAATTTGGACATCTTCTGAGTGTGGACATGCTCCGGAACGCTGAACTTACCCTTGGCCGTGAAAAACAGGTTGCCGGGGATCTGTTTGAAGTCGGCCTTCACATATGTTTCGTCGTCCATGATGCAGCGTTCAACTTTCGTCAGCATGTTGAGGTACAACTTCCTGGCACGGGTTTTGGCGGACTTGTTCTGCTTCTCGTCGCGATTAGGGGTCTTTTGTACCTTGAACGTTCGAAGCCCAGCCTTAGTTTTGGCCTTCTGGACAAAACTTCGGCTTAGGTGCAGCTTCTTAGCCACATCCCTAACGGAGGCGTTCGGATTTCGGTTGAAGGCCCCAACTACGCGGTTGTAATTCTTGGTGTTGTACGGAATACTTTTTCCTTCACTTCTGGGCTTCCGATCGGTGGTCAACCGTTCCTCGAACCGCTTAATCACTCGCGACACCGTGGAATTCGCGATTCCCAACGTTTTAGCGATGGAACGATGCGAGAGATCCTTGTTCTCGTGATGAATGCGCAAGATTTTATCACGCACGAGCTGTTCTTTCGACTCCATTTCCGCGAGTTTTGATCACAGGACTTTAAAACTTGCAGGATGTAAATAATGCACTATGAACTAAATCCACCCAAATTTTCATTAAATTCTACCCAACGGTTAAAAAGTTAGAGCAATTTCATAGTGTGGCAATTTCATCGTGGACACCCTTTACTAGTTTAGTAGTGAGCGTATCTACAGACGACTAGTATTGATCCTGTTTGATTCAGTTCAATGAGCTTTCCGTTTCCGGAGGTATCCAGTTCTAAACGTGATTTTTGCTATTACCTTCTGTTGTTAGAACGAACATGCTTGGAGTCGATGAGTGTCATTTAAGTTTATCAGGAAAATATGATTTATCTTGTTTTCGTTAACATGGATAATGTCTCGTTTTCGCTGCTATCATTTGAGTTGGATTTATGATACAGCATATACTCAGTGACCGGCACAAAACAATTTCTAAGCAACTGATACTTCCAATAGATTTTCTGAACTGTACCCATACTTTTCGGCTATTTTGCGTTGTGATTCGTTTCTTTGGCACGCACGATGAGATTTCTGACCTGCAGAGAAATTTCCTTTCGCCCATTTTTGTTGCTTCAAAAATACTTCACTTAGCACAACAGGTTAACTTCAGAGTTCTACAGTAGACGTCTGTGATGCATATAAACAATGAAATGTCAAAACCCTGAAAAACGAGGGGAGTTGCAATGCAATTCAGACGGCTTAATATTTGTTTCGCTGGTGAATCTTTTTGTATGTCACACAGGGATCAGAGTATCATTATGAATTTAATTTACAGTTGACTGAAACTGATACTTTTTCAATAAAGTGGTATGAAATTTAAAAAAAACTTAAAATTTGTTTTAGAAATAGTTCTGATATGATAAATTGACATTAATAGGTGCCACTTACTGTGTAGCAAAACGATACAGTGGTTCTCAGAAATTCGTAAAAATTTGTAATTTTGTTCCATTTCGCAAAATATTTGATCTTTTTTTTTTTAAATTGTCATCAGGGTGACCAATAAGAGGCCTCACAGGCAGTATATGTACGCTATTACGAAGCCGCAGGTGGCGGGTTCAATTCCCGGTCTTGTCAAGGGAATGTTTTGGGTTGAAAATTGCCTTGACTTTCCTGGGCATAGAGTATCATTGTGCTTGCTATACAGTATACAAATTTATTCACTGGTAAATGGCATCAAAAGCTCTCAAATGAAAATTGTGAAAGTGCATTTAGAACACTAAGTTGAGAGCACGCAATAAGCTAGTATGCGATAAGCAAGCTTGAAATGCGAATAAGAAGAAGAAGAAGAAAAGAAGAATAAGTGCGGCAATTTTTTTTTTTTCAGAAATGACTTTTTCCAATAATTCATCAAATCAAAGGTTAGTTAAAAATACTTTGTAGAAAAATATAATGATGTAACGAAATTGGGGTTTATTAACTTATGAATTACATTATGTGACTATATTACCAATTTATCAATGGAAACGCATGGTAGTCTAGTCGCACAGGAGTATTGATAGAAAACCAGTGCAGAAAATTATCACCGACACCGCATAAATGTGGGCTACTATGACGACCATTGCAACATCGTTATCAAACGACGTGCGACAAAACAAAAACTGTATCACAAGTGCTTCATTCTTTGCCGATAAAGAGTCTGTCATTTTGTATTGACGATCAAAGAATCTTGCTAGGCATCTCACTATGATAATAGTCAAGACAAAAAATATCATGTCACAAAGGGTTTTCGTATACGACACTCATCCTACTCTTTTTATAATAGTGGTTTATGCCAACAAGTTCAACCGTCTGTTTTGAAATCAATCCTGACAATGCATAAGGTCCTAACTACATTGATCGATTCTCTTAATGATTTTTTCTTTGGATCGCATCATTCGATTGAAGGGACCATTTTTTGCGTAATTTGTTCTGTGTAATTTTTCTGAGAATAATTTTCGTGTTCTTAGATGCCGACAGGGTGTGTAGAAGTTTAATTGTGAAAGTATTACTGATGATTATATGCGATATGAAATAATGTCATTGATGAAAAAAAGCATTGCAAATTCGCGGCGTTCTTTAAGTGTTTGTACGTTGATGAGCATACAGCGTGCTTCATATGATGGAAGAGGAAATAAGGTTCAATTCAATTTGCGAAGGGCATATAAAAGGAATTGTTTTTGGACGGATTCTATGCGTTCCTCGTGTACGGCAATGTACGGATTCCATACTAGGTTTCAGTGTTCCAGAATAGGTCTTACGTATGTAATATATAATAATTTAATAGTGTATGGGTCTTGAAAATTATAGCTGAACCTCTTAATGAAGCCCAACATACTATTTGCTTTCGTTATGATTGTATTATAATGTTCTACAAAAGTGAGTTTGGAGTCTAGGATCACTCCTAGGTCCCTTACAATTTTACATTTTTCTACTTTTTAGTTGCCTAAAAATATTTCAAAAAGAGGTGTTTCTATTTTTCTGCTAAATACAATTGCGTTACATTTTTTTAACATTGAGTTGGAGTAGACTTTTACTTCTTCGCTAGAATTACTTATTTCCATGAAGAGCTTCATGTCGTCTGCATATATAAGAACTTTTATTTTTTAAGTATGTAGGAAATGTCGTTTACGTACAAAATGCACTGCAGCCAATTCAGAAGTCTAGATTCCATTCCTATTTTTGCAATTTCAAGAGTAATAATGGTATGTCGATTCGGTCAAATGCTTTACTGAAGTCAATATAAAGAGCTTCCACGTGCTTGCCATTGTCCATTGCGTTAAGAATGAAGGTTACAAATTCAAGGAGATTAAATGTAGCTGAGCGACCTTTAAAAAAGCCGTGCTGTTTGTTTGCAATTTGATTTTTTACTTGCTGAAATTTTTAGTCGTTATCGATTGATTCAACAAATGACAACTTAG